TAGACCAGCTCTATACCTTTGCAAGGGTGATGGAGGGGGCATTGTGGATTTGGAGAAGGCTTATGACCGTGTCCCCAGGGGCACCCTGTGTGGGACGATCCAGGAGTATGGGGTGGGTGGCTTTCTGTTAAGGGCCATTCAGTCCCTTTACCAGAGGAGCGTGAGTTTGGTCCGCATAGTCGGTAGTAAGTCGGATCTGTTCCCGGTGAGGGTTGGACTCCGCCAGGGCTGCCGTTTGTCACCGGTTCTGTTCATTACCTTTATGGACAGAATTTCTAGGCCCAGCCGTGGTGTGGAGTGTGCCGAGTTTAAGCAGGAGAATCTCGTCTCTGCTTTTGCGGATGATGTGGTCCTCCTAGCTTCATCCAGCTCTGACCTTCAGCTCTTGCTGGGTAGGTTCGCGGCCGAGTGTGAAGCGGCTGGGATGAGGATCAGCACCTCCAAATCTGAGACCATGGTTCTCGACCGGAAAAGGGTGTCTTGCCAACTCTGGGTCGGGAGAGAGGTCCTACCTCAAGTGGAGGAGTTTAAGTATCTCGGGGTCTTGTTCACGAGTGAGGGTAAGAGGGATCGGGAGATCGACAGGCGTATTGGTTTGGCATCTGCAGTAATGCTGACGCTGAGCTGATCTTTCGTGGTGAAGAGGGAGCTGAGCCAGAAAGCCAGGCTCTCAATTTACCGGTCAATCTACGTCCCAATCCTCACCTATGGTCATGAGCTTTGGGTAATGACCGAAAGAACGAGATCGCGGATACAAGCGGCCAAAATGAGTTTCCTCCGTAGGGTGGCCGAGCTCAGCCTTAGAGATAGGGTGAGGAGCTCAGACATTCGGGAGGGACTCGGAGTAGAACCGCTGCTCCTCCACATCGAAAGGAGTCAGTTGAGGTGGTTTGGGCATCTGGTCAGGATACCTCCTGGACACCTCCCTGGGCAGGTGTTTCGGGCATGTCCTGCCGGCAGAAGGCCCGCGGGTCGACCCAGGACACGTTGGAGAGGTTACATCTCCAATCTGGTCTGGGAATGCCTTAGGGTCCTGCCGGAGGAGCTGGTGGAGGTGGCCGGGTTGAGGACGGTCTGGAGCTCCCTAATTGGGATGCTGCCCCCGTGACCTGGACCCGGATAAGCGGAGGAAGACGACGACAACAAAATTAAACTTTACTCTAACATCCAGTCTGAAGTGCTGTCCTTCGATCTTACAGTTTTCTCTAGTAGAAGTAATGTAAAAATCAATATAATATAGAAATATTCTACCAATAGACTTAGACAGAATGTATTTACTGAATAAAAACAATTGGATCGTTTAGCATTTAATCGAAGCACCAAATACTGTTTCACACTTCACAGTGATTCGTGCGTTCTTTGTATGCTTGGAGGAAAAAAGCCATTTCACATTTATTTCACTGTGCTATGTTTTATCTCCTTAAGTAAACTCAATGATAAAAAAAACATGAAACCTTCTGGTATCCTTTAGCAGAAATTGCTGTAAATAATTTTTAAGTTGGTACAATTGGTTTTCATCGCACCAGCGATAACTTTCTGTGCCCCCCCCCACCCCACCCCCCATCTCGGCCCTGAGAGCTCACCACTAAAGTAAATTGTCTGATGTCCACAAGCGTCTCTGTCAATCTACAGATGTGTGGCCTCAAAGTCAGTGTCCATTTGACACCGTGGCCACACTGATGGATTTGTAAACATTAGGACCAACATGTCCGCGTACACCTATACACACACTCACACACATACATTCGGTTCCGCTCCCACACTCGTGTCCAGATGATTACGGGGTCATAAAGTGTCCTCTGACTCCATCAGCACAAAGAGAAGAATCACCAGGCCTTTTTCTGCCTTCTTACTCAAACATAATTCTCCCCATTTGGCATCTTGACATCATCTTCAGTCGCCCCACCAGAGTTTTTTCTCTTTCTCTACTTGGCCAAAACACGTCCACAATAACTTTATTTTATTTTTCTCCTTCGCTCCAACAGACAGCATTCAACCCTTACCTCTCTATTCTCTTTTTAATGTCTTTTTTGTCCTCCGCTGCCTTTCTTCTCTTCGTTTTTTTCTCCCCATGACTTCCAAGGTCAGACAGGACAAACAATGCCACTGGTGTCTGTCTGAGTGAGGCTTGCTACTCGCCGCCACTGCCACTGTTGCCTTGGTAACGCACTAACCATTAATTTTCAATTAAAGCAGACAAAGAGATGACAACTCAGGGTCCATGGAAGATGTCAAGAAGCAGTATTAATATACGACAAGTGAGCATAATTGTGTGTCCATTTTCCCCAGCTCTCATCTATGCTATCAGTGAAATGTGAAGGCGGCAGATAATTTGGAGGTGTGGAGATGCTGGACGCTGTGTTCTTTTAACCAAGGCGCCTGTGATGTATCACTTTGAGAAATATGGCATTCATCATTACCTTTATTATTATTTTGTCAGGGATGTTATTTTCATTAACACTTTATCAAAAACGATGACATTTTACTTGAGAGCCAAATGCTGACACCTACTCTCTCCCACATACACACCTGCGTACTGTTTGGAGTGCAAGGACACACACTGCTGACTTTATTCTGCAGGTTGTTATTTGATTTCCATTAGTCGGCCATTACAATGAGACCTCCAACTCATGCAAATGTACAAATAGCTCTTCATCCTTTGTCTGGTTCTGCACAACTAATGGTATACACATTAAAGCAAAGGCATGAGATCAAATACATATTGAAGTAAGCACCAGACAGATAGCAGCCATGATCTCCTCACATGGAGCCACTTTGTAAAATACACACACAACATTATTTTCTGTAAATTATGAATACATATTTCACTAGTGATGAAGTGAGCTGGGCAGTAGCACGGTGACACCACGGCACCAGACACCACCAGCGAAATCTTAATTATTTTTCTGGTTTTAAATGCAGCTTGACTCCATTTAAAGCTGCTTTCAGTGATGGCACCTCAGGTTTTCCCAGATAAAATGGCCTGCAGGGGTTGTAGCTGTAGTTCTGACCTGGTTGTTAAACAAGTTGAACAAAATGTCAGCAGCAAATGCTCCTAGCACTGGTTTATGATGTGGGAGTGTGTTTGTGTTTATGTGTGTGGTTGGGCTCAGACAGAACAAACGTGTCTGTCAAAGTAGGATTTAGTGACACTGTAAGCTAAGACACGGTACGGGTACTATGTGAAATGAAAAGAATGTGCAAACCAAGTGTAGGATGTTCACGTGAGGATGGGTGTGAGGGATGACTTCAGGATACCAGATTTCCCTCTCCCCGGCCACTTGGGCCAGCTCCTCCGAGGGAATCCCAAGGCGTTCCCTGGCCAGGTGAGAGACATAGTTCTTCCAGCCTGTCTTGGGTCTTTTTTTTTAGGTCTTCTCCTGGTTGGAGATGCCTACCTCACCAGGTAGGCATCCAGGAGGCATCCTAATGAGATGCCCAAGCTAATCAAGCACACAGGTTTTGTGGGCGGGACGATGCGACAGAGCAAAACAAGATGGCGACAGCTCATTTGAAATGGCATTTACATCAATTTTGGACTATTTGGACTTGGGCTTTATTAGAATCAGGAGCAGATAGATGAATTTAAACTCTTACTTCAGAAAAAGGATGTATTTTCGCCTTCTTCAACAGTGGACTGCCTCATTTACGACATCCGTTACATGCCGTTGTTTGGTACCATGTGGAGATGGTTTGAAAGACAACAGTAGAACTCGCCCCACGACCAAGAACTGTCAAGGGAGCATTGCCTAGAATAAAATTCTGCAGATTAAAGTGGTTTTAAGATGGCAGCGATACACGTTGTACTTTGATGGCTGTGCTCAGCCTAGCTGTCGATCCAGAAAAACATAAATGCTAGTTCTCTGTTCAGAATATGTACAGTGCGTAGAATATTAACATTAATACCCTTTCTTCTGACCTATTTATGTGCCGTGGAACTGAAAGCCCTCTTATGCCTTACTATCTAACGATGTTTTGTATTTCTTGGCTCGTTGTGTTAGGACTGAAACGGGAAATAAAGCGTTCTGCTTCTCTTCCCTTGAATCTGAACTGAAATGGTCATGACTTTGCCCCCATAAAAGCCTGCTGCTCTTCGCAACAGGTTTAAAAACTAAGAACGGAAATCTTTGGAATTGTGTCTGTGAAACAAATCCTGAATCTTTTTGTTTTTGTATTATTGTGACTTGCAGTGTCTCCTGCACCGTATTTGCTTCGCTGGCTTTTTTTGTCAGGTCACCATAGAAAAGTTGAATTTACACAAAAGACATTCAAAATAGCTTAAATATCTATTTAATCAGTGGCGGCTGGTGAAAAATATTTTTGGTGGGGCTGTGCTATTTTTTTTTAAACAAACTTGTGCTTTCTGAGCTTTGTGCACAACTCCACTATTTCCTGAATTAAGCACAGCTCTTTTATTTCCTGTCTTACATCATTGGACAAACTGATTAATCCAGGTGTGTCTGACTATTGGCACACTGCCTTGCAGACCAAGGTTGAAAAATACTGCATTACTGTAAATTGCACATAAAATAACATGACCATAAATGGTAAATAGGCAATGCAAGAGGCAAGTAACAAAAACATTTTGTATAATTTCAACATTTGAGTGAACACGAAAAATTATGAGCAGGTCACTGTTACAGTAATGGTAGTAAACACTACCTAGACAAAATGCCAGAAATTAACACTGTTAGGACTTATGGAAAGTGGAAGCACTTTCATAGGAAATAATGTCATCAGTATCCTCTTACAAATGGCATATTTCCCACTTTTTGGGACAATAAAACATTTCTGGTTCTCAATTAGATGTTTTTACTTCAAATGTAAAAACATCTCATTGAGAATCAGAAATGTTTTATTGTCCCAAAAGCTGGGAAATTTGTTTGCTGCAGCAGAAGTGTAACAAGTAAAATGGAATCAGATTGATGTATGTACAAATTTACTTGAAATACACATTTACATGATTAAATATGTATAATAGGTATGTGTGTTGAAATTAGTTTTTACAGTTATTGCACATTAAACAATGTACATGTTATTAAACAAATGTCCCGGTTTGCGGGACAACCAAGGATTTCTGATTCTGATTGTCTTGTTTACAGAAATGTAATGTACAGCTTACCTCTGCACCCAGCTGCTGTTCTCCCTGTCCAAACGTCCTCCGTTTCTTTGTTGGCTGCTGCATTGATGCGCTGCATTCCTCAGTCAGAGAATGAATGGAGTCCCTAATGAGACACAAGTTCCACATCCACATTACTGTGGATCCCAGCCGTTTTGAATAACAAACACGGAAAGCAAAATAACGCATTAGCGTGATTGCATCCAGCTAGCCAAGCCTTCCTGGTGTACCAATTTCGGGAGAAGCCTCGTGTGTACAGTTTACCCTTCTCCTTGTCCTGCTGGCTTATCTTTACGTCGGGCTGATCTGGTCCAAGCTCTTTGACATTAAGTTTTTCCACCATTGTTCTCCTCTCGAACGGATACTGGAGAAGAGACCGAACTGAATTCAGTGGCTGCTGAGATCCGGTATCCTGGTTGTAGGCTCTGCGTCACGACCAAAAACGTGCTGGAGTAGTCGAGACTCTCCGAGTTCTACCGAACTCCATCGAAAGCCTTTGACGGTAGCTCTATCGCCCATCATGCTTCTGAAACAACGTCAACGCTGATTGGATACATTCCCATTCCTACCCTTTGATTTTCTTGTCAGCAATTGGTCGGCTGGTGCCGTCCTGTTTGGGCGATTGAAACACAGCCCACAGCCTTTCTGTCGCTGTCATGCTGGGCTGCAGCTTTTTGACCCACGACATGCAGAATCATGCACGGAGACAAAGGTAAGTAAAAAAGGTTTATTATAATGTATGAAGGAGATGATGGTCTGAGATCCGATGGTTCCGGTGGGGTTCTAGAACAGAGACTGGAGTGAGTATATGCAGGTTTGACCGTGAAAGAAATGAGTTTGTAGCTTACAGTTTCCTGGTTGTTGGTAAGGCTGAGAGGGGTGGGCAAGTCACGGCTGGCTGAGCTGGTAGAGCGAGAGTCAGGTGAGGCTGGGAGCTGAGTACCAGAGTTGGAGGTGTCCGAGTTGGCAGGTGGGGATTGGAGAGCAGGCGGTCAGGGGTGAGCGACGGGACTGGCAGACAGGGTTGGAATCCGGTGAGTTTTCTTGCAGCTGATGGAGGCTTGGTTGGTGGAGGAGAAGTTTCCTGAGGAGGTCGGAGGAGAACAGGACAGATAATCTCAGGAAGGCGAGATACAAAAAATAAGTTTTCAGACATGAGCTAGGTGCTGGCAAAGTTCTACCCAATGCTGAGTATCATCCGGTACTGATGAGTTGTCCCAACGCTCCTTAAATCCCCTGACCACTGATGAACAGATAGGTAGCAGCTGCTCTCCAGCTGCTCTCCAGACACACCCACCTGCACACAGAAGACTCAGCACAACACAGTTAGATTCAGCAAAAACCATGACAGTCGCCTCCACAGCTCGGCAGAGACCAATATATATATATACATATATATATATATGTTGAGGGTCTGACCTCATGAGGAAATTACTATGCAGTGATTTTCTCCAAAATGACTGTGCTTAAATTGCAAGTGTTGTAAGACGTTGCTACGGCAACGCACCAGCTTTTGCTAAAATACTGAAAGGAATAGTATTTTAAGCGTCAGTCACGGCATTCCGTGCAATTTAAAACGCTAAAACCTGTGCGCACAAAGGTTAATTTAGTGTTTTTCTGCTACAAAGCTAGCAGTTGCTGCCCAAAAGGTGCAGCTTGAGCTATCTGCAGAAGCTCTACTAGGCTATTTTTGGTTCGGTTGTTAAATGGAGGGACAGAGTAGTGACCTGACCAACTCCCAGCAACCAGGTGGCGCTGCGGCCCACGACTATGAACCTGGCCTACTTTCTGGACAAATATTGTCCAAACTGGTCGCGGTTGCTCGAGAACCCGACTACCCTTCTAGGGATTTCACTGAAGAACAGCGTAGCGTCGAGCTAGAAGCTGTAATTGATCAAATAGAAAACCCGGATGGTACAAAACCAATCCAGGTTCACTTAGCTAAGTTAGCCCTGATCCTCTATCAGAGAGGACTCCAACGTGGTCAGAAGATCATGAACCTCCAGAGTATGCTAGCTGAAAAACAGCGAAATGAAAGGCTGATCGAGGAAGACAACACCGATTCTGGGGAAGATGGGGAGAAGACCCCGCCCCCCTCTGCTGATGACAACAGACAGTGGGAAGGGGGGAAACACCGTGACTCTCTGGACGGACGCACGCCGCAGGGGAGAGATGAAGTTTATCTGTCCCAACCTTCGGCCCCGTTCCCTACACACACTCTAGGGCATTCAGGACCACCTAGGGGCCGAGGGCAGTTCGCCCTCGAACCCCAGGTTGGACCACCACCCTCATCTTCACGGCCTTCTCAATCAGTGAGAAGTCGACCAGCTGAGCGGCATCTCTATTTAGACCGCTCCCCCAGTCCACGAAGGGTGCAAGGTGCCGGCTGGGGTTATGCACAAGCCCAACCTGCACCTCCACCATCCACCCATCCTAGCTACTCCGGTATTTGGCATGCCAGCAACCAGCTGCAGGACAAAGCATCATACGCCAGTCCGTACCCGGACAGAGCGTATTACGCAGAAGCCCCAGTTGAAAGACGCAGGCTGCACTACGCAGACGTGCCCCGGGAGGAGGACCTCCCAGGACACCCACGTGACGTGCCAGCAGCCCGCCACAGCATGCCGAACCCCGATTTGGGCCCCAGGAGTCAACATTGGGAGCCCAGAGCACACCAGCGATATCCAGCACCCTCTGAGACAGACCGTGGGTCAGAGTCAGAGGATGACGCGCCGTACCGTGAGTCAGGGCTCCGTGTACGTCAAATTGAATCGCTAGCTAAAGACATAGAACGCTTTGATCCTAACACCAGTGAGTCCAACGTCGACGATTATCTCAGGCAGATAGAACATTGTCTGCTTGATCTTCCAGCACCCTCTTCAAGGGAAAAGCTCAAGCTAATTTGGAAAACCACATCTAGAACGGTGCACGGTTTCATGGAAACTCTACCACCTGACATTCGAGATCGGTACTCCTCGCTCTGCCGAGCGTTGAGGGATGAATACGCCACGTATGCAGACTCTGCGTCAGCTACAATGGGGGCCTTCTCCATCAAACACGGGAGGAACGAACCCCCCAGAGAGTATTATCGCAGACTCAAAAGTGCTTATTTCCAAGGTCGAAACGGCCCCGGGCTCGAGGAAGACCCTGCCTTCAGATCCCTGTTCATTCACAACCTGCACGAGTGTGTTCGATCCGAAGTCTCAATGTATTGCGAGAGCTCTCCTCTCTACAGTCTGGGCCGTCGAACACTTTCGTGGTTACCTCGGTGGACAGAAAGTGATCATTGAAACGTGTCATCAGCCTGTCACCTTCCTAAACAGCCAGCGTCTGCGCGAAGGAAGAGTGTCAAACAGCTGCATTGCGACGTGGATGATGGTGCTCCAAGGATACGACATTGAGGTCAAGTATGGTCATAACACCAAGCTAGCACTAGGACAAGGGCTAGCAGGCTGCCAGCACTGTGACTCTGACTCCGTCAGGGGCCCCCTGGACACACCTGCCACAGTCTACCCAACCGCATCCAATCATCGCTACTTTGATGAGAATGTTTGCCAAGGGCTTCCGAAAGTTTACACTGACGGATGTGCCTACCCTCACGAAGGCCAGCTCCGTGCTGGGGTTGGAGTCGTTTGGGTGGACTGTGACACTAAGCAACCAAATCACTACCGGTTGGGCCAAAAGTCTAGTCAGTACGCCGAAATTGCTGCAGTGTTGATAACCCTCCAGCAGGCGGCAGCCTTGGACATCACTCAAATCGCCTTTGCTCAGATTCAAACTACGCTAGACACAGCTTCATTTCTCACTTCCCCATGTGGAAGGAGAACCACATGAAAAACGCCAGGAACAGAGATGTGAAACACTCTGAGTTATTCCTAGCGTGTGATCTGCTCACCACTGAGAAAGGCATAATGGTCTACTGGAAAAAGGTCAAAGGTCACTCCAGGACCCTAGGTCCGGAGAAAGATGGTAATGACGAAGCAGACCGCCTTGCTAAGCTCGGTGCTGACCAGGGAACCTGCTGGGAATTCAAAGACGAGTGGCTTCCACCCAAGGCCGTTCACAAGGTCTGCGCGATTACTCGTCGCCATGCTAAACAGGCGGACGAACCTCGGACCGTTGAGGTACCCGTGTGTCTAGGCAGACAACCACATGACGCGGACCTAGTCACCATGCAGGAACAAGATCCTGACCTGAAGCTCATCCGCGAGCTTCTCCAAAAGGGCCCGATGTCTAAACAACCATCACCACCTACTGGCGCAAGCCGAGATTTGGTAAACCTGCATCGTCAACTCGCGCACCTGAAACTACAAAACGATTTGTTAGTTTACATGCGTGACGATCACAGCCCGCCGCGCTGGGTTGTTCCACTCGACCACAGAGGAGTGATGCTTGCCTACGCCCACGACACTCCGGTTGGAGGTCACCGCGGCGCAAACGCTACCCTCGCGTCACTGACAGAAGTAGCATATTGGCCATCGATGTCCAAGGACGTACACAGCTATGTCCAAGGCTGCCTCATCTGTGCCCAGTTTCAACCCTCCCAGCCACTTGCTAGAGCACCACTGCAACGCAGGGGAATAACCTTCCCCTGGTCCCACCTGCAGATCGACTGGGTTGGACCGGTTCCCAAATCGGCAAGAGGAAACAAATATATGCTAACTGTAACTTGCAGTTTCACGAAGTGGGTGGAGTGCCTTCCAGCGCCAAACGATACAGCCGTCACAACCGCTGTACTGCTGATTAACCACGTTTTCAGTCGATGGGGACTTCCACTCTGCATTGACTCTGACCGAGGAACTCATTTCACATCCAGTGTAATGACGTCCCTGTTTGAACTTCTGGGAGTGGAAGTGAGATTCCACCTCCCCTATCACCCACAGTCATACGGACAGGTCGAACGGATGAACCGCACGGTCGTCTCTATGCTCAAAAAGTACGTCTGCTCCACTGGGAAGGACTGGGACGTCAAGCTCCCTCTGGTCCTGATGGCCATACGGTCCATTCCCCAGCGATCCACGGGGGTTACGCCCTTTGAGATGATGACCGGCAGACTGATGACTCTACCACTGCACCTCCTGTATCACCCAGAGGATGTCAGTGTTGCCACTGCCTATACCGCTCATCAGTATGTGGCAGACTTGAAAACACACCTCAGAGCTACGTTCGCGCACGCTCAGAAAAAACTGGAGACCAACGTAGAAGGCACTAAGGCCTACTACGACCAAAAGACAACCAGCCGCGAATACGAGGTGGGTGACAAAGTATTCTACTTTCGGTTCGCCCAACCGGCACGCAAAGCTAAGAAGTTCCTGCCCTGCTGGTCAGGACCATTTGAGATCGTGGCAAAACTCTCTCCAGTTGCATGCAGGTTACGCATCACCAAAGCGAGACAGGAGCCTGTCTACAAATGGGTGCATGCAAACCAAATCAAACCCTACGTCAAACCATCCCCGCGGGTACAGAGACCAGACTCCCCGCAGGAGGTAGACGTAGTCTCTACATAGTTCTATGCATGGAAATGGAAAGGGGGGGAAGTGCACGTTTAACCCACTAACATGTACTAACCGACAAAGAACCAGCCCCCCCCCCCCCACCCCCCCCCCACCCCCCCGCCGTCACTTTCACTAACCAAGAGAAACTCCTCTTCCTAGACCGCTAACAGGATGTACCTACTAAAACCTTACAGGGTACTCTGGTACCTACACTAGGCTCTGATTAATGAATCTCTACGTGCAATCAAGACTTTGTCTGAAACCATACCTCAGGATATTGTGTACACACGAGTGGTGAGATATTTGATGTAGGACCTGCTCAGGGAAGTAAGTTCCACGCTGGACAGCTTGGTTGAAAGTCATATTTCCCCGTACTTGGTACCACTGGACCTGCTCAAAGTTAGCTTGACAGCTGCTACCCCTCTACTGTGCACCTTTCACAAATCCACCTAGCGTACAGCCTAGGTAGTGCAATTCCCATTCACGTTGATGCAGAAAAATTAGAACTCGGTTTCCTGTTACATGTTCCCATAATTGTGACACCTCACATCTATAGGTTTAAGTCGATGCTGAACTTTGGTATTTGAAAGGACGGTAGGCATTTCCACTTTGAACTAGAAACCTGGCACTCCATCATCTCAACCTCGAACAGCATGACTCAGAGATTGAGATCATGGACGCTTTCCAGGGTTATAACTTTGCCTTCGATTTAGAAATTGACCAACAATTACTGATTGAAGGAACCAAATTTGTTAAGTTCACACAAACCCCGCGTGAACTTACTTTGACGCCCAAGACGCTACATTGACACAGATTATACCACCTTAATCTGCACATTGGTCGCCCTGGGGATGGGATGGCTCATCA